AGCCTCCCAGAGTGCTGGAATGAGAGGCGAGTGGCACCATGCCTGGCTTAGACAACATTCTTTTTTTTTTGGTACCAGGGATCGAACTCGGGTCCTTCCGCTTTCGAGGCAAGCGGCGGAACCACTGAGCTAAATCCCAGGTCCTAGACAACATTCTTAAAAGACAAAAATTACCAAAGTTTACTTAAGAAAGAATATTCCTGAGTACCCCTTATCTATTAAATCTATTGAATTTGTAGTTTTAAGTCTATTCTCAAAGAAAGCCCTAGTGTCAATACCTGGTGTACATAATCCTCAAGTCTTTCTACACTGGCAGAGGGGAGCAGCAGCACCACCACCTCCAATTGACATTAAAAACACTGAGTTTCTTGAGCTAACTTGAAAATATGCATTGCTATTAGGAAAAGCTAAAAACAACATGCTAGAAATTAAGGAAATGTGCAAGCTAATTATGTCAGCACTAGAGAATTCACTAAAAATAAACTCAGGAGTAATTTCAAATCCAGGCCATCAGATTGACTGGGTCCCTCTACCACATGAGAACCGCATCTCAAGGACTGGCAAAGCTGGGTGTGGTGGCACACACCTGTAATCCCTGCACTTAGGAGGCTGAGGCAGGAGGACTGCCACAAGTTCGAGGCCAGCCTGGGCTACCTAGTGAGTTCAAGCCCAGCCTGAACTGAATAGTGAAAAAAAAGAGCTAGCAAAATATTGATCTTGGAAAGAAAGCACAGAATTACTGCATTTGCGGGATGAAATTAAAGACACTGTGGCTTATACAGGCAAATGGCATTCTGCTTTACAATAAAATATCTCTTCTGCTTAAGAGACAGACACTTGTGACCTGGTCAGAACCTTAGCTTTCCCCATTCTCAACTTCCTTATTTGTTTTTTTGTTTGTTTGTTGATTTTTTTTTTTTTGGTACCGGGGATTGAACTCAGGTCCTTGAGCTTGCAAGGCAGGCAGCAGAACCACTGAGCTAAATCCCCAGCCCTCAACTGCCTTATTTGTAAAATACAGGTCAATGTGTCAACATGAAGACCAAGGTTACAACAGATGAGTACTTGTCTGGCAATTCCACTCCAAGAGCTATAATTCCATGAAACTTGTAATAGCAATGCTAAATCACAGGTTGTAAGAACATCACCATCTTTATGCAAAACTCAACCTCCTTGCTTCTCAACATTTAAAACTCTCAAAAAGGGGGTAGGTCAACCAAGACCCCAACTCTGTGCCTCATCCCCCATCCTCTCTCCCTAGATTTTATCATTCATCCTCACCAATGCTCTGTGCAAGTCCTTCCTTCTTTTACTTTTTTTCCCATTCCTCCTTTTTTCCACCCTTGGATGAGGTGGTGGTTCACACCTGTAATCCCAGCATTCAGGAGGCTGAGGCAGGAGGATTGCTGTGAGTTTGAGCCTGGGCTACATGGTGGGTTCAAGGCTAGCTTGAATTAATAGTGAGACCTTGTCTCAAAAAAACGAAAACAAAAAATAAGGACAGAAAATTATAATCTAGTGAATAAAACAAGGACCTATACTGATGATAAGTTGATGAATCAATGAATAAAGAGAAATGAAGGTCCTCTTTTTTTATAGTCTAATGGTGAATGCTAAAAGTGGAAGGAATTTTGGAGTTAGAAAAATCACCGGTTTTCAACCATTATGATAAAAATTGACTTGGACAAGAATCATGAGTGGATACTAAATAGGTGTGATAAGCATGAAAAGGACAAAGATTATTTGTACAATCTCAAATATCTTCTCACAGAGTGTTGCAAGGGGGAAAATAGTAACTATATACCTGAGAGAAGTGAGACTACACGGTGACCAATTTTGACCTTGGCCAAAATTAATTATACTAGCTTGATGTGGTGGCACACCCCTGCAGCTCCAGCACTCGGGAGGCTGAGAAAGCCTATGAGTTTGTGACCAGCTTGGGCAATTTAGCAAGACCCTGCCTCAAAAAGTAAAAAAGTAACATCACTAAAAAGGAGCAAGGGACTTTCTTGGCCTTGGGATGTGCTTCCCATGAAAAGAAAACACAATATGACCTATGCCATATGCCATACGCCAACCTAGAATACATAACCCAACTCTAATCATAAGGAAACAGCAGGAAGAAACCAAATTGATGGACATTCTATAACATACTAACTGGCCTTTATTTTTCATGCAAATGTCATTAAATAATAAAGAATGTCTGAGGAACTATTTTAAAGGAATGATCTAAAATATTATAAAATCCAATCCATAATTCTGGACTGGGTTTTGACTAGAGGGTAAAATGGACAATTCTGCAATATAGATCTTAGAAAGTCTATGTTAATTTTCTTGAATTTGATAAGCGTATCATGGTTGTATGAGAGAATACTCTTGTTCTTGGGCAATATGCATTTGAGTATTAACAAAGGGCATAATACATACAACTAACTCTCAAAGAATTCAGAAAGAAATGTATATAGTGCACACATAATGATAAACAGACTTGTCAAGATGTGAAAATTAGTAAATCTGGCAGGACTCTGTAATTATTGTTGCAACACTTCTGTACATTTGAAATTATAGATTTTTTTTTTGACACAGGGTCTTGCTATGTAGTTGAGGCTGGCCTTGAACTCACTATGTGGCCCAGGCTGGCCTGGAACTCACAGTGATCCTCTTGCCTCAGCCTCCCAAGTGTTGAGATTATAGGAGTGCACTACCATGCCCGGCTCTGAAATTATAAATTTTTTTAAAGGTACATAAACAGAAGACAAATAGGCAGATGAAGACCCAGGGTGTATAAGAACAGCCCCAAGAGTCTTGGAAGAGTCTACCCTGACTCCAGCTTGTTCCCTTTCAGCAGCTTTCACATCTAAGGTGAAAAAGCAGTCCGGATACTCATGCCTGAGTTATGTGCACCTGTCGACAGATGCAGGTCTGCTCCATGGTTAGAAGCCAAAGGGAGAAGGTCTAACTTTAGTTTCTGATTCCACCACTTAAAAGTTGCATGACCAGGGCTGGGGATATAGCTGAGTGGCACCGTGCCTGCCTGGCAAGCACAAGGTCCTGAGTTTGATCCCCAGTACAGAAAAAAAAAAAAGTTGCATGACTAAAAGCAAGTCAGCTAGTACCTACAGATCATGAGCCATTCACTCAGCAGCAGTACCCTCAGGGAAGTATCAAACACCATTGGGGAGCAGCAGTACAAACTTCTGTTCTGAGAGCTTGCATTCTCCCTGGATGAAAGGGAAAATTTAAAAATAACTAAAATTGGGCCAGGGATTTAGCTCAGTGGTGCCTCCGCCTGCCCCACAAGTGCAAGGACTGGAGTTCGATCCCTGGTACCAAAAAAAACCCCAAAACATTAAAATTAAAGTAGGCCAAGTACCTACACATGCTATGAAGAAAAACAAAATAAGGAGATAGGACAAGCAAGAAAAGGACATGCAAATGTAATTGTAAGCAGTCAAGGAAGGCATCACAGAGGAGGTGACATCCAAACAAAAACCTAAAGGCAGTGATGTAGATGGAGGAACATGGAGGCAAAAGGAGGACTGGATGTGCAAAGGCCCTGAAGCAGGGACATTGCTTCACTGAGGGATGACTGAGATGAAATCATCACCTCTGGTGGCAGGGAAATGAGTTGTACAGGCCAGGAGCTCCAAGCTAGGAAGTGGGTAGACATGAAGCTTGAATTCAGGAACACAGGAAAAGAAGCATCAGTTTCATAAAGTTTAAAAAAATAGATTGATTGTATGTCCTCTTCTTCTGACCTGCTCTTCTCAAGTGGGGACTAGGCAAGGAATCTGAAGATTTTATTTGTAGCTATGCTTTAAATTAAAAATCAGAATCCCTTCCCTTTTATTTTTAAACCATATTTGAGACATTTTGCAGGTATACAGAATCCTTTCAGATTAGGATCTGGGAATTCGGGGTACAGCTCAGTTAGCAGAGCACTTGCCCAGCATTTTCATGGCTGCCCTAGGTTTGATATTCAGGACTGCCAAAAAAAAAAAAGATCAGTGTTTGGAGTTCATATTGATATTCTCAGAACAATTTTATTATTTGGGAAAAAGTACAATGTCATTTATATCAAGAAAAACAAGTTTACAGCGGAATTATAGTAATTTATTAACAGAAAGGCTTTTTCTCTCCCCAAATGGTCAAGAGAATTGCGCCTGATTTGTTCTTTTGCCATGATTTGCACAGCTTGTATTTGCCTCTTCAAGTAATTTTGGACGACTTTTACATGACCACATTACTGTTTTCACAAGTGATATTTTTAGGAATTGGAAATAACAAAAAGTTCTGGTAGACTTGCCACTTCTTAGTAACTTGTGTAGCTAAATTCCTCTTTCCCCTAAAGTGACTAAGAAGTAGTAACAGCTAGAATTTTAAGTGTTGCATGCATAGGAGTTATTTTTGCTTTGGATTTGGGAGAGGTGTGGTAGAGGGCGAACCCAGGGCTTCGGGAATGTTAGGTAAGAGCTCTACCATGGAGCTGTACCCCATCCTTTAGTGGATGTTTTCATGCAAAATAGCAGCCATTCCAGAGGACAGAACAGCGATTTGATTGCTGGTGCGTTGCGCTGTTACTGTGGTTTTTTTTAAACTCACCTTCTGTTGTTTAACAGAACAATCATTTTTGGGTAAGGGGTGAGGATGTTTTTCAAGAGTGTAAATGAACAAGGCTCTGGTTTTAAGATTTTTTTTTTTTGGTACCGGGGATCAAACTGAGGACCTTGTGCTTGCAAGGCAAGCGGCAGAATCACTGAGCTAAATCCCCGGCCCTTTTGGTTTTAAGATTTGATCAGTCCCCATTCTGTTTTCAATGTCACCAAAATATGATCGGTTTGAGATTCACTGCACTTTTGGGCTTTTCTCTCCCACTAAAGATTTTTTGGGGGAAAATTTATACCTGTATTTATCCTCTTACCTGCCTCTTATTCATTTTTTAAAAAATAAAGTTCTTCATTATTTGGTTTGAGAGTAGTAAACTTCAAAATGCACCAAAATAAAATACTTGAAATTTTAACTTTATTATTTTCCTATTACAAAGTAATTCATATTCCTTACATGACACAAGAGAGGAGCACAAAAGATATAGAGGATTTGATTTAAAAATTGCCTGTTATCCCATCCCAGAGAATACTGCTAACATTTTGGCATAGTTTTTGGAGACTGGGTCTTGCTCAAATCCTCCTGCCTCAGCCTGGGATCACAGCTGTGTGCCACCACACCTGTCCCCTCCTATATATATTTTAGTAGATCTCAGACATCACTATATATAAAGTCTTATATTCAGCTTTTTCCATATAACATTATTTTCTCTTGTATTAATAAAAATTCTCTTTGTAAATATCTTGATGAAAGAGTAACAGTCCATCATATGGATATACTATTTGTTTATTTAAACATTCTCCTAATAGCAAGTATTTAGTTAAGAGAGTTAGTGGGTCAAAGCATATAAACATGGTTAAGGCTACTTTGTTTCCTAGAAAGTCTGTTTTGGAGAGCACAGCAGACAATGCAGACTTGGAAGGGGAGGGATGGCATCAAGGCAGTCACAAGAGGGCGAAGGCTCACAGGTCTTGGCCAAGCCTCTCCAGCTCGTCGAGGAGGAAGTCTATGTCTGTATGGGTCAGCATGGGGTTGACCACGATCACGCGGAAGAAGTTGCCCCAGGCCCCATGGGGCTGGTAGCCGATCATCATGGAGCCCGCCTTCACCATGCGCTCCTTCAGTACGGGGGCCACCTGAGGGAGAGGCAGAGAGAGTCCGGATGCAGGCTGCGCTCGGTGGGAAAAAGGCTCCCAGATCTGTTTGCCTGCCCGCTCACCTCCCTCTGGAGGTATCACTCACTGCTCAGACCCTCATCTTATCCCACTTTACTTTGTCCACCACATCCAACCTGCCTGGCCTTCTCTGCCTTCTGCTTTATTCTTCATTTCCCCTCTTCCCAAAAAGCCATGGCAAAGGCCATCTTCTGCTACTCCACAACATTTTTCTGATTCCCAACACTGCTTCAGTCTAACTTCAAGTCTTAGTCATCTCAAACACCTTCTCCCCTCTCTTAATTCCTGTAGTATTTTTGATCTGTGCAATAGGATCTAGTAGGTAATTTCTGAAACTGCCTTGAGCATACTGGCTTCAAATAGGTAACGCTTGGGGGAGGGGAAGGGGAAGTAAAAAGAATTAAGATGTGTCATGGACTTATACCAATTCCCATGATGAATGTAATCATTGTACTGCAAACATGGACTAATAAAAATTTTTTTAAATAGGTAACTCTTGATTTTTACATATAACTGCATGAGGGCAAGAACACCTGTCCTTTCAGGTCATCCACAGCACCCTGTACCAATCCATTCTTAGCAACCAAGACACGACACCTCCTTGCCTCTAGAAAGCATGTGTGTACTGGCCTTTCCAGGTTGCTCTGTCCCTAGCACTGTGATAAAGCTCTTCCTGATTGTTCTCTCTCCCATCTCTGCATGGGCCTGAGCTCCTAGGACAGTGATGGCAAACCTTTTGGAGATTTCAATGATACAAATAACCCACTGTGGCACGTGTGCCATAGGATCATCACCACTGTCCTAGGACAACTCCCAGCACAGGAGTCTTTGTGCTGCACCTGGTGACTGCTCTGACTCCTATAACATCCCTCTCTTCTCTCTTGCTTCAAAGAAATGTTCCTTGTTCCCTATCCCTACCCTCACAATAAAGGACAAACTTGTCTTTTAGCTGATGTCACCTTAGGAACCAGACCCGAGCAAGGACTTGCCATACTAGTCACAGCCAGCAGGGGGCAGAAAAACAACAGCTGCATCAGTTGCTGAAACAGCTCTCAAAAGAGCCAGGAGAGAGACTACCTGAGATAGCCTTTGACTGTAATCCAGACTTTCCTGCTTTCCTCGAAGGCTGGGGGGCACGAACCAGAAGCACACGTTGACAAACTCAGGCTGAGGGAAATGAGACAAGGGAAGGTGTCAGCTAAGGAAAGGTCCTTTTATGCACACTGCCGCTCTTCTTCCACTAGGGCTTGGTGTATGGGGCAGGCCGGGGCAAGGAATGCAAAACAGCATGCGGCCATACCTCCATGACCAACTCAAACCCTTCTCGCTTTTTGATTTCCTCCACCAGATACCTGGGAACAGAAGCGACACATGACAGATGGATGAAAGGCAGAGACACCAAGAGGAAGGTAACCCTGAGGGCAGGGAAGGTGAGGGGTGGTCTCCAGAGAGGGGAACCGGGACCCTACACCTACTGGGAAAGGGCAAAGGCCCTGTTGATTCGCTGCTCCAGGCCTTGCCTGCCCTGTGCCTTCCACAGGAGCCACAGTTTCAGACAGTCCACACGGCGGCCACACTGTACCACCTTGTCTCCCGTGTCCAGAGCCACGTCGTAGAACTTGTCCTGCTGGAAAAGGTACCTGGCCTGGGACTCATGGCAGCGCTTGAGCAGGTTCTGTGTGGAGAGCAGGACACTGCTGAGACCCTGGCCTCGTGCCTTCCAAGGCTTTCTCCAGGCTGCACTGGGGTCTCAGCCCAGCCCAGCCCACCCTTTCCTTCTGCGAGCCAGGCACCACTGTGGGGCTGGCTGCTACTCATCAAACTCTCTCCAGGTTTTCTCCCAACACCCACAGCTCTTTCCAAACTCTGTCTGGCACCCCTCAAGCCACAACTTCAAAATGGAAACCTAGTCCTTTGCATGAAGACTGGGAGAGTGAGGGAGCCCATGCAGGGGTTAGGGGTGGGATGGTAAAGAGAACAGTATGGCAAGACACTCGCTAAGGTGGCCAGGGAAGAAGACAGCATCCAGAGAGAGAGGTGGGCCGGGGCTGGGCAGAGACAGGGCAGACCCACCGAGGTGTCCTGGAGAAGAAGAGCAGAGCACTGCAGGCCTGCGCCCAGCAGCTTGTGGGGGTTCCAGGCCACGGAGTCAGCCCTGGTGAGGCAGAGCAAAGCCAGGTCACAGGCTCTTCTACACTTGATCTTAGCCAAAAGGCCGAGAAGCGATACACAGGCTCTTCTTCCAGCTGCCAAGCCACAGCCTTCTTCCTCTTTCAGAGGCCCAGCAGTGGGGGTAGGGGGTGTCTCACCCCAGCCCAGCCATCAGGAATTCATATGTGACCTCCAAGACCCAATCAACTATCTCTCCCAGCCCCAGCCCACCAACCTCCTTCTCCCACCCCCACCCTAAGCTCCACAGTCAGACTCTTCTGAGGATCAAGGATTTGAAGGGTGGGATGTGGGAAGAAGGGAGCTGTATGCACCTCTGGATCCCATCCAGGAGATGCCTGTGTGTCTGTGACAGCAGGACGCTCCCACCCCAGGCAGCCTGTAGAGCAGGAGGAACAATGGGGGTCTCAGCCATGGCTCAATTCACCTCACCCCAGGCCCAGGTCCTACTCACGTCCACGTGTAACCATAGTCCATGGCGCTGGCAAACATCAGCAATTGCATTCAGGGGGTCAAAGGCCCCAAGGACAGTGGTACCAGAGGTGGCACTGACCAGGAATGGCACAGCACCCTGTTGCAAAAATATGGAGGAAGAAAAAGGCTTCAGAGTCACCTCAAAAACTACGTAGCGGGCAACCCATATGGGATCTCTCCTGTCTCTCAGAAGCTATTCCTATTCCCCAATAAATTTTCCTACTTTTTCTTTCTTTTTTGGTACGGGGATCGAACTCAGGACCTTGCACTTGCAAGGCAGGTGGCGGAACCACTGAGCTAAATCCCCAGTCCCTAATTTCTCCTACTCTTAAAAAAAAGAAAAGTTACCTAGGACCAGGCATGGTGGCACACACTTGTAATCCCAGCACTCAGAAGCCTAAGGCAGGAGGATCACCACAAATTTAAGGCCAGCCTGAGCTACACAGTGAATTCAAGGCCAGACTGGACTCTGTAGAGACTCTGTCTCAAAAAAAACAAAACAGGGGGCTGGGGATTTAGCTCAGTGGTTTCGCAGCCTGCTGTGCAAGTGCAAGGACCTGAGTTCAATCCCGGTACCGGGGGAAAAAAAAAAACAACAAAAAAACAGGGCTGAGGATTTTGCGCAGTGGTGCCATACCAGCCTCGCAAGTGCAAGGTCCTGAGTTTGATCCCTGGTACCAAAAAACTCTAAAAAACGCCCCCAAAACAAAAACAAACAAATAGAAGCTACCCAGGGCCTGGTACTGGGGCCCAGCTGTAAGCTCTCTGCATGACAGACCTGGGCCATCAGCTTTACAACACTGGACTGCTGTCCTCTTTGTAGGGAGGGACCTAAGATTCAGAGATCCAAGCAGAAGCTCCAGAGATGGAATTTGAACCTAGGTCTGTCAATTTTCCAAAGCTTGTGCTCTATCAAAAATTTTAATGTCTTACTGGAAAATCTAAATGCTACTGGAAAAATTCAAATGGTACAAAATTTATACCAACATTGAATTAGGGTGAAAAAAAAAACAAACCATAAAAAGCCCTACCACAAAGAAAAGCCCAAGCCCAAATGGCTTCACTGATGAATTCTATCGAACATTTTTTTTTGGTACCAAGGATCGAATTCGGGACCTTGCACTTGCAAGGCAGGCAGCAGAACCACTTATCAAACATTTAAGAAACAATTGATACCAGTTTACAAACTCAAAAACCATAATACTGTATATAAAATCAACTGTATTTCTATTAAAATGATCTCTTAAAATAAGACTGAAGAGTCTTAATGAGAAGACACTCATTTTATAAGGACATCAAAAAAGGCCGGGCATGGTGGCACATGCCTATAATCCTAGCACTCAGGAGGTGGAGGCAGGAAAACTTCCTTGAGTCTGAGGCCAGCCTGGGCTACATAGTGAATTCAAGGCCAGCCTGAACTACACAGAAAGACCCCCAAAACAAAAAACAAACAGATGAAATCCTAAGTTTTTTTAAAAAACTGGTAAGCTGATTCTAAATCCATTTGGAAATTCAAGAGAGGTATAGCCAAAGCCATCTTTAAAAAGTACAAAGTTGAGAACTCACACTTCCAAATTTCAAAACTTACTGCCTCACAAGCACAAGGTCCCGAGTTCGATCTCTGGTACCAAAAAAAAAAACTTATTACAAAGCTACAGTAATCCAGACAATGTCAAGGACAGTCACACAGAATAATGGAACAATGCAGATAATCCAGAAATAAATTCTCACATCCAATTGATTGTGTTTTGTTGTTCTTGTTATTATCGTTTTGTTTTTTAATGCCAGGAATTAAACCTTGGTCTAAAGCAAGCACTATACCACTGAATTACAACTCCAGCCCAATCAACTGATTTTCAACAAGGATACAAAAAAAAAATTCATTGGAGAAAGAATAATCTTTTGAACCCATGGTTATGGGAAAACTGGACATCCACATCCACAGAATGAAGCTGAATAGCTTTTTCACATCATATCCCAAAATTAACTCATAATACATCAAAGACCTAAATATAAGAACCAAAATGAATTATAAAACTCTTAGAAGAAAACACAGGGGTAAACCATTGTGAGCTTGGGTTAGGCTAGAGATGATACCAAAACCACAAGCAACCAAAGGAAAAATAAAAAAGCTGAACTTCATCAAAATGTTAAACTTGTACTTCAGAGGACACCGTGGGGGGAGTAAAAAGACAATCTACAGAAGAGGAGATTCACAAATCACATATCTGATACATGTATCTAGAACATATTAAGAACTCTTTACAAGTCAATAATAATTTAAAAGGCCTAATTTGAAATATTGGGCAAAGGATTTTAATAAACATTCTCCAAAGAAGATACACAAATGCCTAATAGGCAAACAATAAGATGCTCAACATCACTAATCATTAGAGAAATGTAAATCAAGATTACACTGAGATACCACTTTGCACCCATTAGCATAGCTGCTAGCAAAGTCACAGAAAATAACAAGTGATAGAGAGGATGTGGGAAAATCAGAACTCTTGTGCACTGTGGTAGGGACCAACACTGTGAGGCAAAATAAACCTTTCTTCTTTATACTGTTCAGTTTCAGGTATTTCATTACAGTAATGAAAAATGAACAAAAATACATGGTCTTTAGGAGATATTTGTCCATCTGTGTTCATATCAGCATCACTCACAATAGCTAAACTGTGAAAACAATCCAAGTGTCCACTGACTGACAAACAGCAAAACGTGGTAAATGCACACAAAGGGATTAAATCTCAACCCACGTGGGGGAGGGGGCACACTCAAACAATATCTCAATCATATTGCATTGGTTCCTTTTCAATAAATCAGGAACGCCCCTGTCACTGTCAAGGACAAAGCAAAATAAAACAGCTCCACTGGGCCGGGGATTTAACTCAGTGGTTCCGCTGCCTGCCTCGCAAGCGGAAGGACCCAAGTTTGATCCCCGGTACCAGAAAAAAAACAAAAAACAGCTCCACATACTTCTAGACACTCCCTTGATGACCAAGAGAAGCCTGGATGACAAGTACCCCCATGGGGAAGGCAACAGGCAGGGAGTGGAAACATCCCTGGCACAGATGGGAAGCTGTCTCCATTCCACATCTTCAACTCCAGACATCTCCTGTGGCTGTGCACAAGCCTGGGACGTTCCTGCCCATCCATGATACCCACCACCTGGTCAGTTCCTTTTCTCCCTTCAAGTCTCAGCTCAACTGTCACTGCCAGAGGAGCCTCCCCCACATCCCTTACCTCCTGATCTAGTCAGCTGTCCTGGGCTACACCTTTCAGAGCACCACTGACCTCGCCTTTACAGCACATATGCAGTTCATTTACAAGCACTTACATCAGTCTTCCCTAGTGGAACAAATATGAAAATAAAATGGAAAAGATCTGAATAGACAGTTCTCCAAAGAACATCCACAAATGTCCAACAAGGACAGGACAGGATTCTCAACCTCATTAAAGTCATCAAGAAATGCAATCAAAACTACAATGAGGGGCTGGGGATTTAGCTCAGTGGTGCCACCGCCTGCTTCACAAGCACAAGGTCCTGAGTTCAATCCCCACTACCAAAAAAATCCAAACCAAAACCACAATGAGAGACTGCCTCATACCCACCAGGCGACTGTAATTAAAAAGTGAATACACCAAGTGCTGGTGAATCAGTGGAGAAACTGGAAGCTCATACACTGCTAGGATTTAAACTCATGAAGTTGCCAGGCATGGTGGCGCACAGCTACAACCCCAGCACTCAGGAGGCTGAGCAGAAGGATGGCTTCGAGCTCAAGGGCAACCTTGGCTACATAATGAGTTCGAGGCCATCCTGAACTACATAGCAAGACCCTGTCTCAAAAAAACCAAACCAAAACAAAAAACTGGTGAAGTCACTTTGGAAAATAGTTTAGAAGTTCCTCAATGGTTAATTAAATAGAAATTAACATATCACCTAGCAATTCCATTACCAGTATATAACCAAGAGAAATGAACAAATATGGTCACACAAAAGCCTGTGTTCACATCAGCATTATTCACAATAACCAAAGATAGAACTCAAATGTCTGTCAACTGGTAAATGAGTAAGATGTGCTACATTCATAAAATAGAATGTTACTCAGTCACAAACAAGGAACAAAGTACTGCTACAGGTGACAACATGGGTGAGTCTTGCAGTTATTATGCTAAGTCAAAGAAGCTTATCACAAAAGGCCATCCGTGGTGTGATTCCAGAATAGGCAAACCCACAGAGACATTAAGTGGATTACTGGTTCCCTCCAACTGAGAGGTCTGGGAGAACTGGAGAGCAATAACTAAAAAGTATGGCATTTCTTTTTGGGGTGATAAAAATGTTCAAATTATAATTGCAGTGATGACTATACAGCTCGGTAAATATGCTTAAAATATTGTTTTCTGTGATATGAATTATATCTCAATAATATAATAAAAGTACTACCAAAAATGTTTAAGTGGGGCATGGTAGCACATGCCTATAATCCCAGAACTCTGGAGAGTTGAGGCAGGAGGACTATGCCCAACTTCATGCTCAGCTCAGGCACTTTGGTGGCTTAGTGAGACCCTGTATCAAAATTTAAAAATTTTAAAAAGAACAGGGGATGTTGCTCATGTGAAGGCTCTGGGTTCAATCCTCAGTACCACACACACACAAAAAAGTTTTGTTGTTTTTTTTTTTGGTACTGGGGATCGAACTCTGGTCCTTGTGCTTGCGCAGCAGGTGGTGAAACCACTGAGCTAAATCTCCACCCCACATACAAAAAAGTTTATACAATAAAAAGTGGCAAGCTGGACATGGAAGTGCATGCCTGTAATCCCAGCACTCAGGAGACTGAGGCAGGAGGACTGCTGCGAGTTTGAAGCCAGCCTGGGCTACACAACCAGACTGTCTCAAAAAAACATAAAACAGAGCCAAGGATATAGCACAGTGGCACTGCGCCTGCCTGGCAAACACAAGGTCCTGAGTTCAATTCCTGGTACCACAAAAAATAAAAGAATAAGGTAGAAATATATACATTTGAATATGAAAATGCCTGTACTATATATATTAAATATATATTGCAAGAGCAGTATAGAATGGATACTATGAGCCTTTTTGTTTTTTTGGTACCAGCAATCAAACTCAGGACCTTGTGTTTGCCAGGCAGGTGCAGAGCCACTGAGCTACATCCCCAGCCCTACCTTATTCTTGTACTATATAGTACTTAATAAATAAATGACACACAGCTGCTCATGTTTATACAGAGCATTTACATGTCAGGCACTGTTCTAAGGGCTTTACATATGAATTGATTTTAATTCTTTAAGTTCTATTATGTCTCTGTTTTACACAGGAAGAAACTGAGACACACGGATATGCCATAATTTATTTTATCTGCTGTTGAATATTTAAATTTTTTTTTTTGAACTCCAGTCCTTGTGCTTCTGAGGCAGGTGGCAGAACCACTGAGCTAAATCCCTGGCCTGAACATTTAAGTTTTTAAAAAAATTTATAGATTTTGTTCCAGGAAACATTCTCATGCACAGAATTCTACACACTTGTGATGATGATTTAGAGCATAAATTCTGAGCAGTGGAACTCTGAATCAGTAGATAGGTATATTTAAGAATTGCAAAAAAAAGAAAAAAAGAATTGCATAAACCAGGGGATGGTGGCGCACGCCTGTAATCCCAGCACTTGGGAGGCTGAGGCAGGAAGACTACATGAGTTCAAGGCCAGCCCGAACTACACAGAGAGATGCTGTCTCAAAAAAAAAAACAGAAAGAAAAAGAAAAAGGGCCGGGGATTTAGCTCAGTGGCACCGTGCCTGCCTCACAAGCGCAAGGTCCTGAGTTTGATCCCTGGTACCAATGCAAAAAAAACCCCTAAATGAATAAATGGATGAAAATTAAAATTAAAGGGCCGGGGATTTAGCTCAGTGGTTCTGCCGCCTGCCTTGCAAGGACAAGGTCCAAGTTCAATCCTCAGTACCAAAAAAAGAAAAAAGAAAATTAAAATTAAAAAGGGCTGGGGATATAGCCCAGTGCAAAGGCCCTGGGTTCAATCCCTAGTACTAAAAGAAAAAATTAAAAACTATAGAGGGCTGGGGATGTGGTTCAGTGGTAGAGAGCTTCCCCAGCATGTGTGAGGTCCTGGTTTCAATCCTCAACACCACCACCAAAAAAATATATAGATAATGCTAACCCACCCTCCCAGATGGCTGCAGCAGCTTATGCAGCCCGCTCAGTAGAGCTGAGTGTTAGGGTCCCCAACCTCTCCTGCCCACATCCTCATCATCTGCCCACACAGACCCCAGCCCACAGAAACCTTCACACTTTGCTTCCGCCCCTAACTCCTCCTGCTGTGTGGCCAGGACTCCCTTTGCACTCAGTGCCCCTCACAATCGCATCCTACCAACTACAACTGTGTCTCAGCAGAGTCCCTAAGAGCAACGCCCTGGCCTCTCAGGCTTCAGCCTTCGGCAAGTTGGGCATGGAGATGGAGGGGAGCCACATGGGGTGCTCAGTGCGAGAAAGCACAAACAACCCTCTAGGGGTCCAACTCCATCACCCCACCGGCCCTTAATCACCTACCTTGGCTTCTGCTAGGCTGATCTGCCTTTCCAGATCCTTAGGGATCATTTTCCCTCTGAAAAAGAAACCTGAGTGAGCAGAGAAGCACAGGCCCTCCGGGCACAAGGCGTCATCCTGCTTAAGGCAGGGCACGGGTGGGTCAGCAACACACAGGCCTTCATGCTGATCCTTGTTAAGAGGGGTGAAACAGATCTCAGGGCACGAGGGTAGTGGGAGACTGGCAGGCACTGGGAGATAGGAGTGGCTTTTCTGCAGGAAGAGAAGCCCTCGAGGATGCCTGGCCCGAGGCTGTAGCTTGCTGGAAGCAGGAAGATGCACTGTGCCAAGCTGGGTCAGGGTCATGTTGGCAGAAGGACCTTCACCTCTCATCAGCCTTGACCACTCGGACACTGTCAGTGCCAAGTCCCAGAAAAGCCGCTCCCTTGTTGACGGAGTAGTGACACTGTGGAAGAATACAGAGGGCAGGTTAGCATGGCCCCAGCCAGGGATCAGAAGGCAGCGGTAATGGGCAGGAGAGAGACTGGTAAAAGTCAAGTGTGAGCTGGAGGAGATGGGACCTGCAGGCCAGGGCTTCTCAAATGTGCATGTTCCCAAAGTGCCTGTGTGGCTAGCTAACATGCACATGCATTTTCAGGAGGCTTAGTGGGGCTGAGGTTCTGCATGTCTAAGAAACTCTCAGGCAGCACTGATGCAGATGGGTCAGGCCCCACACTGAGTGGGAAGAGGGGGCCGTGTCCACTGCCCTCTCCCACCTGGAATGCAAGACAGGCATGAGCTCCTATGCGGCCTCTCTAACTAAAGGAAACATATCAGCTTAGGGGTGGGGAGGGGCAGAAGGAAGACCTGAAGAGTCTCTGACTGAGCTGGCTCAAGATCAGAATCAGGAGCCCAGGGCTGCGCCTCTGCTCTTCCCCACCTCCTTTGATGTGAAGATGGCCAAGGGTGGCAGTGCCCGGAGGCCCCTCTGCTTGCAGTCTGGGTAGCGCTGATAGCGGGCAAGGTTCATCGCATACATGTTAGAAATGGAGCCACCTGTTAAAGGGGGAGGTGGTGGCAAAAGGGAGGGGTGATGAGTCAGACCTGGGGCTCATGCCCCTGACCATTTCACCCAGCACTGATTAAAGAAGTAGGCTGACTGGCTCCTCAGCTGTGACTCCCAGGGCTGTACAAATGCACAGGAACCCACAACCAGTGCTGCCCCAGGAAATACCCCCCCACCCTGAAAGAAGGCACTTGAGTGCACATGCCAGTAGCTGTTGGCAAACACCAGGATAAAGGGGACTCAGCAGCCTCCTCCGTGGTATGGCCCTGGGCCCGTGGAGAGAGAAATCACCACTCCCTGCCCACTGCTTAGAGTAAGGGAATGGTGGGGAGGAGGAGCCCTCACAAGGCCTAAGAAAGGCCCCCTCCTTCTCACATACCAGGGCAGAAGACCCCATCCCCAGAGCTCCAGCCCACCAGGGCTCGGAGTTTCTTCAGCACCTCCTCTTCCATAAGTACAAACACAGGGGCGATCTCATATGTGTACCTGCCAGAAGAGCACCGATGAGAAAGGCAAAGAGACACAAGGGACTTCCAGGCCAGACCCTTCAACTACAGGAGTCAGAGAGGGGAGATGCTGAGATGTGAAGGAAGGGTCCCAGCTGAGAATGAGCTGGTGACAAGCATGAAAGTGTGCTCTGTGCCAAGAGGCCAGGCCCTGCAGGGGGTGGCTTTCAGAGGAGTCTGGATCTGCAGGTGATAGTACTGAGCCTCTGCCCTGCTGCCTACATGCAGCAGAGACCAGTGTCTGACTGCTTCCCCATTTACCAACATGAGTGGGGACAAGCCTCAGCTTGGGGGGTCACCACGGTCTGGGGTTTACAGACAGAGGGGCCTCTGGAGTAGGGGGGTCAATCTACAAACCCACAAACTATAAGGCTGGACAGAGAGGATTGTGACTTGCTTGATTCCAAGACTGCAGGTTCTGGAAAGAAACCAATCATTTGGAAATACAGAGGAAGTTTTGGGGGGCAAAAAAAAGGGGGAGGAGGCAAGCACAGATGAGAAAAACCTGGGCTCTGGAGGCCAGGAAAAGCTTGGAGAACAGGACCTCAAAGGACAGGATGAAAAACATCGCCAGCAGGTATTCCCAGAAAACGGCAGAGAGGGGCAAAAACCATTCTCCTCTCCTACCCCTGAGCTACCTCCCCAGAAAACCTAAGTCCTCTATGGGATGGAGGGAGAGGCCTTGGGTGGCTCACTGGCTGGTGTTGAGGCTCTCAGTGATAATGCGCCCGGCCAGAGCATGAGGGTCCAACCCAGAGAAGAGCTGGTTGAAGAACCGGGGGTGACCTGGAGAAGGGGGAGCAGGGAATGGGGCTCAGCATGGAGCTGGGAACAAATACCAGAGTCCTCCCACCAGAACCCACCTCGCACCGGTCTTGACGCTGTAGTGAATCACAGCGCGGCAGCGCTCCAGGATCTTCTCCTGTGTCTCGCCATGGCTCTGCAGCTCCAAATCCAGCAGGCTTTTCAGCTCCTCAGGCTCCTTCCACTCACAGACCTAGGTAGAAGGAGCGAGGGATTTGGGGACCTCACACCCTGTGGACTGGCTGGCCCAGCTGCAGCTCATGAGATGCAAGACATCACCAACTTGGACTTAAAGCAATTCCACAACATTATTAAAGTGATGCATAACAGGTGGGTAAAAAGACATAAGACTCAGAATGCAAATTCCTGAGACATACAGGGACAGGGATAAATTCTGGGGCAAAGCCTCATCAAAGGAGAGAAGTTTGAAGCCAGGTGTGGAAGAGAAAGAGAAGGCTTGATGGGCAGGGGGAGGAGCGAGAAAGGGCGTACCTTCTCAGAGGCCCTGGTCCCTTTCCGAATGGCCTCATCCACAATGATCTCAAACACATCCCGGAGCCAGGCCTCCGCAGCCACTGGGTCCCCATCGAGGGAGGGCAGTGGTTTAGAGTCAGCCATTAGGATAAAACCTGTGTGCAGAGCAAGAGTCACTCCCCACTCAGGCTGGACCTAAACACCAAGACCCTCCACCTCACCGGGCCCAAGGGCCCAGGCCCTGCAGCTGAGTCCCCAGTGCACAGATAAGGGCAAGGACAACATCCAGAGGGAAAACCAGTGGAAATAGCTGGGACAGAAAGGTGGCTAAGCCGAGCAGGTGGACTGAGTGGCCACTGTCCTCCTGAGGCAAAGAGGAGAAGTTTACCTTTCTGCTCAGGTTTCTGTTCAGGGAAGGTACACAATGAGCTTTCCAGACTAGTAGGACCAAGACAGCAGAGGGAGGGAGGTAAAGCCAACTGTCACATGGCCATGGCATATCACTCATAACCCTTGCCCGAAAGAGAACTTTCACAGACTTGGGACAGGGACAGCAGGTTAAGTTCCCTGAATAATCATTAGCTGACAGAAGAAGAGAGGGGGACAAAAGACAGGCAAAAAGGGCAGATGGCACATTAACCTCAGGGTTAAGAGGGGCAAGGAGCCCATGCGCAGCACAGAAGAGGGCACCAGCACCACGAATCCCAGCACTCAGAGTGGGGTGTGGAAGATACCTGAGGGACAAGGTCCAGCAGCCTCCCGGGACACTGATGGGGGAGGGAGCCTGAGATGCAGAAATAAAATGGGTTAAGCAGCCCTCAGAGGCCAATGTCTTCTGCATCCCAAGCCTAAGTCTTTACAACTGTCCTGATTTCTAAGGCCCTCTGCTAGAGCAGGAAGGAAAGATGGTCATATTGAGGAAGGATTTTACTATACAAATCCTGGGCTATACAAGCTGGCACTGAGCTCTCCTGTCTCTCAAGGATACAGTGCACACATGACAGTTACAGGCCGGGGCAGGACTGGATGCAGACCCTAAGTGTCCTCAAAATTCAGGAAAGAAGACCTAGAAAGTGGAAGACCGAGGGAGACCTGCAACAGGATGGAAGCAGAGTCTGGAGAGCAGGCAGGAGAAGTGGGACAGGTGAAAGAGAGGAGAGGAGCACAGGATAGGGTGAGGATTGCAATCAGCTTTCACACCAAGTGAGGAGGGCTGGTCCTGAGGTCAGTCAAGGAAGGTGCCGCTGGCAGGAATATGGGAGCCAATGCAGAGTGGGCAGAGCTACGTGAGACAGTGGTGAGTCTTGGGTGCCAGCCAGGCCAAGGAATCTAAGTTTTATCTTGGAGAAAATTGGAACTCACTAGGAAGATTCTCTGGCAAGGAATTATGTGATCAAACTGATGCTTTCAGAAGAATGTGTTATAGCAGCAGGATGCCAGAGAATTAACAGGAAAGAGGTGATCTATACTTGCATAAGGGTAGGGTGGGTAGGAAAGCACAGAAGGCTTGGTCATTCCCTACATTGCACTCAATGGAAGCCTTTTTCCTTTTCTTCAGAAACAGGGTCTTGCTATATAGTCCAGGCTAGCCTTGAACTCACTGTGTAACCCAGGCTGGCCTCCAACTGGCACCAATCCTCCCAACTTAGCCTCCCAAATGCTGGGATTACAGGCATGCACCACACCCAGCTCACTGGCAACACTTTTAGAATCTATGGGTTTTTGGGGGGTTTTTTGGTACTGGGGATCAAACTTGGAACCTTGGGCTTGCAAGGCAGGTGGTGGAACCACTGAGCTAAATTCCCAGCCCAGAATCTATGTTGAAAGAGAACGAAGAGCCAAAAATAACCCTGGAGTTTCACACCTGGGTGACTGGGAAAAACGGTACCCCCGCAACAAATATGGATATAGACATCTGGTTTTTGGGGGTTTTTTTGATACCAGGGATCGAACTTGGGTCTTTGAGCTTGCGTAGCAGGCAGCGAAACCACTGAGCTAAATCCCTAGCCCAAATATGGATATAGAAAGGAGAAACTGGATGGAAAATAAAACAGTGATTTCTTAGAAATGTTCATCCAAGTGGAGGCTTTCTGCAACTACAGATAGTCACAGGGAAAGTCAGGCCTAGAGTTCTGATGAGATGCGAAGGGAAAGCAGATGTGAGAGTTGGGGTTAGCTGAGCTTTGGGACGGGCTCCATCCACCACAGGAGGGATGGTGGGAATAGATCAGTAAACACCAGGTCTAGAAGACTCCACCCAAGAGGAGAGAATCCAGAACAGGGCCACCTTCCTCAAGGTGGGCTGCTCAGACATAAGCCTCTGTCAACAGCTACTAGGATTCACACTAGGTGGAAACACAGCCTCAAGAAAGCCTGGTGGTCTGACCCCTTAGAAATTTTGGGGGCTTTTTTGCGATACTGGGGATTGAACTCAGGACCTTGTGCTTATGAGGCAGGCACGGTACCACTGAGCTAAATCCCCAGCCCTAGTAACGCTGGGTTTGAGAACTGGAGCACCAGCCCGGGCCTTGAGAATGGAAGAGCCAGTCCTTCCCAAGCAATCAGGCCAGCACTCCTGATGGCAGTAGCTATGGAATATGGAAATCAACAGGCTAATACAGATTGGCCCATGCAGAGCCAGGCATGGTGGCACACATGTGCAATTCCAGTTATTCAGGAGGCTGAAGTCAGAGGATGACAAATTCGAGGCCAGCCTGGGCAACTTAGTGAGATCCAGTCTCAAAATAGAAAATAAAATGGGGTAGCAATGTAGCTGTGACAGAGCATCCCTGGGTCCAATCCTCAGTACCATAAAAAAATAAAAATGAACCAGGCATGGTGGAGTAAGTCTGTAATTCCAGCACTCTGTGAGGCTGAGGCAGGAGGATTGCAAGTTAGAGCCCAGGCAAGGCAAGTCAGGGACTTACCAAGACCCTGTATTAAAATTTAAAAAGGTCTGGAGATGTAACTTAGTGCAAAGGCCCTGGGTTCAAACCCTAGCACTGAAAAATAAAACTAAAACTGGGGCCAGGGATGTAGCTCAGCTGCCTGGCAAAAGCAAGGTCCTGAGTTCAATCTTCAGTACCAAAACACAACAACAACAACAAACTAACACATAGTCCCTATGGGCTGGGGTGTAGCTCAGTGGTAGAAAGCTTGCCTAGCTTGTATGAGACATTAGGTTCTATCCCTGGCATTGTTAAAAACAAAGAAAAGTCCCACTTCAGTCCTTACCACATGATACTGTCTGTATTTAAAATGCATCATGCTAACCTTCAAAGCCATTCAATGTCAACTTCCTCCTTCCACTTAAAGGAGGAAACTGACTTTTAGAGATACTGTGTACTTTGTCCAGGTCACACAGCCAGTGCATGGTGGAGCTGGGTGTAGACACAGGTGTGTCTGGCTTTGAGACCTTTAACCATTGTGCTTTGTTACCTCATGTTCGGCTTTGTGTGTTTAGCTGTGCCCTCCTTCTGACTTCCAAGAGAGGGAGCCAGTGCTTTCCCTCCAGATCTTTCTGGGCTTCTGCCCTAAGCACCAGCTTGTTTCCTACTGGGCTTCTGCAGACATTCTGTACTGGCCTTGACTTCCCGCTGTTGACCAAACCAGTTACCACTTTTCCTCTGCCTTCTGTCTTCAGTGATCATTGATAACTCTCTTACCTCTTGTCTTCTCATTTGCCTTATTTTTCTGGATCTCAAATCTTGCTGAAGTAATCTTTGTGGGCCTTCAGAAGGAGTGGTGGCAGATGTTGTAATTTAATCTGCTGTGTTTAACTGGAACGAGTGCACTGACCATGAATTTATCGCGACACCCGTTTGAAAATTTATGTGTTTTACTTTTTTAAAATTTTTCAGTACTAGGGATTGAACCAAGGGTTTGCGCACTGAGCTACATCAACAGCCCTTTTTAAATTTTTTTACTCTAAGACAGGGTCTTGCTAAATCGCTAAATTTCCCAGAGCAGGCTAGAACTTTTGATCCTCTTGCCCCAGCCTCCCAGAGTGCTGGGATGAGAGGTGTGCACCACCACATCTGGCTTAGTTATATGGTTTTGCCTAGAAGCATCCACCAGGCCTGGTGAACTTGGTGAGACAAAGACAGGCCAGTTGGATGGGGGGTTTTGCCAGGTGGATTTGGTGGAAGGACAGTAGGGCCAGGGAGTTCAAAATATTGGGAAGAAAATAGGTAAAACAAGAGACCATGCAATCTAGGTTGGATATATAAAGGCAGGAAAGATATGAGGGAGTTTGTGACTAGACTATATGGGCTAGAGATCCCATAAGCCAGATAAAATGGCTGCATTTTAAAACAAAACGAACTGCATGAACTGCAAACATGTACTAATAAAATTAAAAATAAATAAATAAAACAAAACAAACATTGTTTGGTCCTACTAGCATCTTCTCAGCTTGGGGCCAAGTGCAGTTTCTAACTCTGTTCACAGTTCTTTGCTTATCTACCTTATGGAGAGTAAATGAAAATCTGTATCAAACAGTTACTCCCTCATTCTCCTCCCCCTGCCCATTTAGCCAGCAACGCCCCTTCTATCTCCCTTCCTAAAGTCAGATTATAGTATCAGTCCTGGTCAATGGCGGATCCCAAGATTTCCCGAGACAATGGAAGCCCCAAAGACTTCCCAAGACGAAACAAACAGACACCAGGTCACAGGCAAAAGACAGAGGGTCAGGGGGCTGCACTTTTCTCCAACATGTGG